ATTTACCCTGATGGTCGGTCCATGAAAGGAAGATGTCTGCAAGCAACTTAGGAATTTTTTACTGAGATCTAAACAATAAAATCATTGAACACTGTTAAAATGTGTGCAAACAACCCCTACTGTTAAGATTTTTATATGAGTGTATATGTATATATAAATCCATACATACACATTATATAATTTATTCCCTACTAAAAAGACTTAAGGCAGTTTATGCTATATATAAAGTTAGCTATAATATCCAAGAGAAAACAGTTCCTACCCAAAAAATCATGTGAACACATCAGACAACTTATCATAAAAGCGACCATGAGGCTAACTGTATCTAGTATAGCTCACATTTCCTGGTCGAGGCTCCCAACACAGGAATTCCACTCCCAAGAGAAAATTTGTCCCTTGATCCCCACAAAAGGTAGTCTGAACAGACAAAATATTTATAAAAACTTTGAAATGGAAGATAGTAAAAAGAACTCAGCAGAATTCTGACAACCTCTGGACATCACACACTATCGTCATTACACTTGATTGTACTACATACAACAACTCAATATGCTCCAAGGTGGAAACTGGGCTGGTATTATGGGGAAATTATTGGCTGCAACTGCTGGGAAAGTTCATAATCCTAAACACAATTTAAACAGAATGTGATGATTCATGCTATTTGATCATCTTACACACACATACACATTTAAACTGGATAGAATTTCTGAACCATTTATAAGTGACTTAGCTAAACTGAACATCAACCTTCGTGGTGAAAAAAGTTAGGACCCTGGGTATGAACAGCACCATCCTTTTTGGTCTTTAGTAAAGTTCAAAGGCGAGAAACACTCTGGTGTATGCAGATAAAACATGGTTGGAAAGGAAGGGGGCAATCAGCAAAACCACTAGGGATACGTGCTGTCAAGAGAAGGAAGAAAGAAAGAAATTCAGCTGATGAATAAAAAGGGCTCAGTAAAACAGAGTTCATGAAGGAAAGAAAATAGGCAGTAAATTGTTATGTCTAAACCTCAATGCGCTGCACCAGAGTAAGAGACAAGATCATGGGTTGCTTACGTCCACAGACTACTTAATTATCTAAAGAGATACTGGGGGAATGGTGGAGGGGCAGCAATCTGTGATTCAGAACCATTCAGCTATGAAAGTCAGGGCTGTACATAAAGACAGATGTTAAGAACAGTGAGGATTGTCTTGCGTTATATTACATACCACCATCAACCAGACCAGGAAGGTGCTGATTACTGAATAAATGCTCAAAGTATTTATTTTTTTAAAAAAAGGATGTTAAAGATATATTTGGACAGTTTTTGGAAGAGGTAGAGAAACCAACTGTGTACATGTTCTCTTTTATTTGATTTGAACTAGCAAGAGACTAGATGGATTGTTTTCCACCTTCAAAATCTTAGTCTTGATGAAACTGACAATAAAGGCACAAATAAAGTGAAATTAAAATAATTTTAACAAAGGAGAAAATCTGGCAATGTCTAAAGAACAGATGAAGTAATAAGCAAAAACCTTAAATATGATTTAAGGTTTTAAAAAACCTTTAGATATTAACAACTTGCAAGTATATATTCAGAATACAGCGTAAGAGCACAGAACAAGAGTATTAAGCTTTCAAGAAAAATTAGGCAGGTTTTCTTCTGACAAAGTGACAGGTCCTGAGGGAGAAAGTAACCCCCACAAGACTAAGACTCAGTACCAAACCCCAGTCATCTTACCACTCAACATCCATCACACTGGCTGGGTAAAGAACAGGCATCAGTAAGTGTTCACTGAATAAATGTATATCATAATGTACAATTACAATTAGCTAGTATGGTGTAGTTCAAACCCAGTCAGGAAAGCAAACTTTTTTTAAGCAGCGAAACTTTAAAAAAAAGAAATCTATGTAGAACTCCAATACAGAATAAAAATGAAGCTGCCACTGGCCAGCCAGGCCAAAGTCAGTGGGAATATCCCAGCCTCCAATTCCCTAAACCAGCCCTAAGGTGTATGTAATCCAGTGTGAGAACCACCATTTATTTTGGAAATGTGATAGAAAGCATGATCCTTCAGTTCTCATGTTGTTAAACTGAGGACATTACCAGCACTGTGTAGAAAAAATTCTTAATGATGTTGCTAATTTAAATAAAGATAAAATTCTACAGAGAGGAGATCTTATCACTTAGAAGAACGAAAACAAACCCTATAAGGAAAAAAATAATCAGCAAAAATTAGGCCACAGTGGACAAAACAAAATGCAAACCCAACATCTCATTAAAAAGCAAATTAAGACCACTGAACATATTCATACAAATGTAACCACCACTACCATCAAGTCAACTGCTTGACTGGTCTAACTACTGAAAACAATAGGTGCTTCCAAAGAGTTGAGTCCCAGCTTCATACTGTACAGAAGAATCCCACCATAACTGTAGAGATGTGATCCATCACTGAAATGCTACAGATGGTACTGCTTTGCTTAACATGTCAATGCAAAAGTAACAGCCAGGAGTTTCTACCATTTTGAGTCGTTCTTTGACCCCAGACAAAGAACAGTATTCCCTAACATCACACAACTTCTCAAGTGCAAAGGGCAGAACCTCCACACTTTCAACAGGTCTGACGGTGGTGATACCTGGGGCATTTATACCATCCACAAGACAGGCTGGACAAGCAGTAATCAGTGGGCAGCAGGACATCTGGAAGCAAGCAGCCAGTTGCTACAATGGTGAAATTTGCCCAAGGCAGAATTAAAGAAAGGGTTGTTCCATTAAATGGCAGTGACCTGGTACAAACTCTTTATAGTAAGGACTTGAAGAAGAGGAAATACTAACAAGAATGACACATGAAGCAGTCCATTACAAAATAAGGCCACCTTCAACTATTATAAATTGTAGAACCAATCTGATCCTCAAGTTTGGATCTGTGAAGAGGTTTTTGTATAAAGCATAAACACCTAATAAATGATGAGTTTCCTTTAAAGTACGCCTTTGCATTTGATGCAATTTTCTTTGCCGAGAAAGCCTATTTTTCCCTGGCTCTCCACATGGCTGGCTCCTTCCTCACGCATCACTTCTTTACAGAAGCTTTCCCTCTGCTTTGCTCTATCACAGTACCCTGTTTATCTCCTTCATAGACAATACGCTAGTTAAGTGTTAGAGTAACTGCTTTCTCCTCAAAGGCAAGGGCCATAGCTGTCTTGTTCACCTTTACCCAAAGGCTAAGAAAGTTCCTGGCACACGTAACAGGTGAACAATAAATATCTGTAGAGCGAAAAATCACTCTACCAAGTTTACATGAACATATACATGCATACACAAACATAGGAAAATGGGCAATATCTGACAGAAAACAATCAAATGCTGAAAGTATTGAAAATAAACACCTGTACATACGGGTGAACATGGTTTTAAAACACAAGTACCAACCAAAGATAATCTGTCTTTAAAAATATGAAAACTTACTAGAAGGGGACTAGGAGTGGTTACTGGCTGTTCCTATTGAGATGCAAACAAGAAAAGTTTAAACTGGAATGAGTTAACAATAAACTAGATAAAATAAGGATTATCTGCTGTCGACTTTCAACAGAGCTTTTGACACCTCTGGTCATGCCTGTCCCTGCAGAGCATGAAGTCCGGTGGCTTCTAATAGTCACCACATATTCAGCATTAGTTAAGAACAGCTCAGACCACAGGTATTCACAAGATAAAAAACTTGCTAAACGGCTTCTCCCCCGAATTTTACAATTCAGAATTCATAATTATGTAAAATAACATAGATTATAAATTTAATACAACATACCTTAAAAACAGATGGCCCCTATCTGCTGATCAGACCTCAGCATTACTTTTCTAGGTATTCTGCCGAAGCAATTACATTTACAAAAGGTCCATTTCATAAGACAATCTGGTAATTAAATCCAATGAAATTCAACTCAAAAGAGCACTAGGTTTGCTACTGAAATATTTGAAAGTATCTTTTAAAAAAGAGTGTTTATATTTATAGATTGAATTTTCAGAAAGGATAAATATATCGAAATAATTGCAGCATATCCCTGAAAATAATTATACTGCCACCTGTGCATTTTTTATGAGGTGTAAAGATAAATCAAAAGACTGCCAGGTTACATAAGTCTATTATTACCTGTTGAAACTGAAATTTGGTGTAAGACAAAGGGACTTACTCCATATGAATTCTCATTGTACCCAGAATTAACTGGTGCTGGCAGTATCAGTGCAATCATTGATGGTGATGGATGCCATGCTACACTGTTTTGGTGGAAAAGTAGAAATGGAGGAGAGGTTTAGAAAGATTTCCATAAAGTTTCCTTATAATAAGATTAGGCAGTAAGTAAACAAACACAGAAAGAATGAATATTTAAGACCCACTGAACACATTAAGGTCAAGGATTTCAAAAGTTAATCCACTTTTCTTCCCCCAAGAGTTTATTTTTGGTAAAAGGCAGAAAAATTAGTTTTTCTACAAGGGAAATCTGCTTCTAAATGATAATTTGAAAATCTTGATATATATTATATATTAAAAAAGACACACAAAAATAACAAAGAAGTGGGAATAACAGATTAGGTACTGTAACTTTATAAAGGCTTGCCTAAATCAAGAAGCAGCACACACACACCTAATTTATGCAAACTAAAAATGTATATAAACAGCACAATACTGTGATACTGGATCATGATACATTACCTGTACACATAACTACTACTGTTATCAATAAACCTTTGGGACACTCAGTTTTATGCCCAACAAGACATCAGTAAGTCTTTAAAATCTTCTCTTCCTCCTTTACGCGAGAGCATTTCTAGACATTAATTTTCCCATCTAATATTCGAACATAGGAAACCAATTCCACAAGGTGCTTTAATTGATGAGACCTCAAGTGCTGTTTTCTCTTGAATTTTTGGATAGTAAACAGTCCACAGGGACCACACACAAATACTATGACAGAAGAGTTGGTATATTAAGTCTTTTGATGGGACTTGATTGGTGATGAAGCTTTATGACATGCTTGAGCAACGTACTGAAGGGGATCCCATCTGAGTTAATACTTTGTCCAACCACTGCAGAGGTCCATTCAGATGAAGTTCAATCCAGCAAGGAGTGCTTGTTACCGTCTGCCTTCTGTTCAAAAGAATGAAAGAAAATAATTACGAAATCAAAAGAATAACAGGGATATGGAAGAACCAAGATAAACCAAACAGGTTGTATATACTAAAACCTAGATTCTTTTTTGAACTAGTATTAAGTTTGGACATCTATCATTTTGAAAACTGTTTAATCCTTAAAGTCTAACAAAGTATTTATAATGCTATAAATAATCACTGCCAGGGCAAGAGACAGAAACCAGCACTGTCCCAAGCAAACCAGAATATATAAAGTCACTTTACTTATTAATCATCCAAAGAACAGAAAATACTCAAATAGAAAATGAAGTCCAAACGGAACAGATTTCAAACTTAAAGTATATCAAAACAAAAATTCTGACCCAAGCTTATCACAGAATGTTCAAAGCTGGGGTTCAACATCCCCTGACAAAACCAACAACCAACCTTCCTTTTAGCAAAATCATGCAGGCTTTTAATAAGAAACATCTCTAGTACTTCAACTAAATGAGCTACCCTCTGAAAATCGCAAACTGTTCAAGGATATCCTATCACTTCCACACACTGATTTTAGTTTCTTATTTATTACACACAGTAAGTCAGTAAGTCTGTTTGCTTCAACATGACAATCCTGCAAACATGAGAAAAAGCCATTATCAACTCTTCGCCTCCAAGCGACACATACTCAATATAATTTAGAACTACGACTGTATTTCAGAGGGTGTGGTTTTCAGCAGCGGTGCCCTGCTGCTCCCTTCAGATTCTCAAGTGTTCTCCAGCCCACTTCCAGCTGTAGGAATCTGCATCTCTGTGCCTGAGAACCTCTGCGCTGTCCACAGATGGAACAGACCTCAACCAATGACACAGGAATCGGCATTTAAATGCCCTGTTTCCTTTCCCTCCAAGTGGGGTATTTCTGAGTGCTCTTGACTCTCTTCCCAAAGTTTTCCTAAGGGGACAGCTCTAGTGACCCACCCACTACAGGAGGTGGCTTGAGAACGGTGTTAGTAGTGTTCCCTCCCCTACCTCTCTTCCCTACTTCCTCCTTCCTTGGTAGTGTTCCCTCCATTTCCTGAGTATACTTGTAGCAGGCAAACCCTTGTCTCAGGGTCTGAGCCTCACATTATCTGTGCCCCTGCCTGATTATTCACTTCACTACTAACTCACTTAACTGAGACATGAATTCTTTACACATCTTTATTTCCCCTTACTATGTCTCCTGATTTTTATGATGGGAATCAAGCTGGCACTTAAGAAACTGAAAAATAGTTTAGAAATACAAACATCAAATCTATTCCTCAGCACCTGTGTCATTAATGATAAAAGGTTCCACAGTTCACAGACATATGGGTATCTAAGTTATTTTGATCTGCAAATGTTAAAGGAAACTACTTTATTATCCAAAGTAGATGTACCTGACCTCCACTAGCCATCAATACATACTGTATATTACTGCTTCTTGTATAGATTTTATATTATCTCTGGGTTAAAGAACAGCAGAGACCACAGTGAATGAAAGACAGTATCTCTTTCCACCAATCAAAACTGATCTTAACAGGAGACCCATAGAATTCCATATACATGGAATTCTCCCTGACCTAAGTGATTCATGTTTAATGCCACTCCATTTCTACCATGTTCCACAACATTATAATCTTTCAAAGGAGAAAAAAAATGTGTGACCTAATAAACTGATATCAGATAGTACTATCTGAATCTAATTTTAATATCAACTCAATCCAAGTTCAAATGAAAAAAGAAACTCAGCACTGTTTAAAGTTACCCCATCTCAAAGAGGAAATGATTAAAACAAAAGAGAGCTACAGCAAAGTCAAAAAATGAATTCTTGCACTAACATAACTTGGACAAAATAGTGACAAGTCTCACTTTAGATACAAATATATAACACATTGTATATTTTTACAGAAGTTGTCAAACCATTAGATCTCAAATCTCATCATCACAAAAGTCATACACCTGAAAATTTAAGACAAGGGATCAAGTTCAAATGAAACAAAGTTGAAGAAGGGCCCAAACTGCTGAATGAAACAGGAGTATTATTACTATACCACATGAATATCTTCTTAAGCAGACATTCAGACAGTAGGTAATGTGAACTGGAGAAAGACCGAGTATTTTACCTGTAGTTTTATTCACTGTTATGTTGATGAACTATTCCCTTTCTTTGATGTGGAATCCAATCAACTGTATAACCTAGCAACAGCCTAACTGAGCTCACTCCCTGATGACAGACTGGTTCTGGTAGAACTCAATTACGTAACTGCTACTGCCGTCCTCAGAGCACAGTCAAGGAGAGCTTTCCTCAGGCCCCGTCTCTGCCACCGGCAACGTGTCCTTGAGCAAACTATTAAATCTCACCTAAGCCTGTTTCCAAATAAATGTTTAGTGTAGACCTTTTTTTTTTTTTTAAACTTTACAAAGACTGCAACCTTATAAAGAAAGAATAAAAACAGCAACTCTTAGACATGCTGAGAGGCGTGAGATACTGCATTTAAAACACAGCACAGTGCCTGGTACCCAAATACCCCTTCTATTACTGAATAGTAACCCTTCCAATACGCCATTTACAGTATTTAACACTCTGCATTCTGTTACAGTGCCTGTCCATACACGTTTTAATTCTATGTTCTATAGTGCCAGCATAGGAATTTGCAATAGTTTTGAATCTAGAGGCCTCCAACTTTCTTTTGTTATTTTACATAAAGATTTGCTCTCTATAAACTTCAATGAAAATACGGATACACTTCAGAAGATTCAAAGAGTGCAAGAAAAAGAATTACATTCTAGAAATTTAAGAACTGAATACGTATTTCATACCGGTATTCTGCTCCCCACCCTTTCACAAAACTCATTCTTATGGTGCACATTCTAGTTAGCTGATACACGGCTTCAAAACCCTGATTAACGGACTGAGCCAGCAGAGCAGCAAATTCCTGGTTGTTGAAGATCTTCAGATTACAGCCTATGATTGAAAAAATATATAAAAACATTATGTACGAAGAAGATCGTATAAGAGAACCATTTTAAAAGAGCTACAGACACTAGAATGGTGGTGGTGGTGCAGTTACTAAGTCACGAAACCCCTTGGACCTTCATCAGCCACGCTCTTCTGTCCATGGGATTTTCCAGGCAAGAATACTGGGGTGGGCTGCAATTTCCTTCTCCAACAGACATTTGAATATGAGCATGCAAATCATCTCCTGATTCCGAAAATTAATAGCAAAGAAAAACTCAGCAAGTTGAGATGATAGGCGTATTTATATTGTTGCATCCATACCTGGTGGAATTTTACACACGGTTGCAGGGTGCCAGCCGTATCTCTGATTACAGTTGGGGCTCTGCACAAAGATTGCACTATCACTTAGGCACTCAGCAAAAACTTCCCCACCTATGTAATATAAGCGCACTCCTCTTCCTAAAACGAAATATATATGGAATTAGTTTTACAACATTTACTACTTCAATATCACTTCTGAAGGATTCTTAGAGGAAAAGTAAAATGGTATAAAGTATCTTGATGATCTCTCCCATAGCTACGCTTTTCTGAAATCTAACTTTGAAACATACTACTGTATAGTTTTCCAAGTATTTTTTCAACAATGATTTTATTGATTCGTAAAGATAATATGTGCTCATTAAAAGTACTTAATGTAGAAAAGTGAATAAGCAAAATAAAGAATTTCAAACAAATCATATTTTTGAATAAAGCAATTTAATCCATTTGAAGGAATTAACTAATGTCTAGATTAATATGCCTTCATTATAATACATAATTTTTCTTTAAAGAATCCACTATGCTTAAGAAAAAAAATAATAAAAATTACCACCTGCCCCTTCTCAAACTATGTATTATGGTGGTAACCAGATCTCTATTTACAAAAGCAGAATGAGGTGAGTAAAAATTATATTGGGAGATTTTAATATACCTCCTTCAGAATTTGACAGATCAAATATACATAAAATATAAGAAATACAAAAATTAAAAAAAATGGGAAAAGCAGAATTCTCTTTTTTTTTTAAGCAGAATTCTAAGACAGCACTTAACATTCTCATCCCTGGTGTGTTTATCTTCTCAATTATTCAGTCAAACACTAAGTAGTGCTTAAAGTAATTTTTCAGATGTATAGTTCTTAAATCAAGTGACCCCAAGAAATGAAGACTATCTTTGGTGGGCCTGACTTAATCAGGTGACAAGCCTTAAAGGGACTGGGCTGGTCCTGGCGAGAGTGACTCAAAGTGTGAGGGGAAGAACTTAACAGAGTCTTCACTGCTGACTATGAAGATGGAGCGGGCATGCAGGTGGCCTCTAGGAGCTGAGAGTAGCCTCTAGTGGACAGTCTGTAGGAAATGAGGATCTCAGTGCTACAACTTCAAGGAAGTAAACTCTGTAGTAATCATCTGTGAGCTTGGAAGGGGACCTCAAGCTTCAGATGAGGTAGGGTAAAAAAGCAGGATAAACTTACTTATTTAGAAGTAAATATGGTAGGGATAACCTCCTGTTAAATTTCTATACAGAGCCCTAATGAGAACATAGAAAAATCGAACTATTTTCGTTAAAGAAGGGTAAATATTCAGAGGCCTTTGTCACCTACAAGACATCCGAGTACCTCAGTGAGATTATGTAAAATTTATACATCAAGCAAGATTTGAGAAATTTCACATGGAGCCAACTAACATCTCTGAAGTCACAAGCACTTTGCAATATCACACTGACTCTTTAGTGATCAGCATTACTTTCATAGGAGGTAATGGTTAATTAAATGAAAACAGAAGCACACTATTATTAAAAGAAGTTTCTTTAAGGTGATGAGAATTATGTTCAGTTATTTTAGTAGCACTCAAACTATTTTTTCCCTCATTGTCAAAAAACAAAAACAAACAAAAAAATCCCAATGTCCCAAAATGTTGGTGTTCATGTCTTAAATATATGCAAACTTACCATACTGTGTGCTAAAACTAAAGATTCAAAAAAAAAAATTCATTAATTCATTTGAAAATCAAAATAGTAAACTTACTACATATTAACATAAACAAGTTTATGAAAAGTAACTATTTCCCAAAGTAAGGAAAAAATTAGTGAGAAGAGTTTTATATCTTTGCAAGCCTCCTTAATGTCTGCCTTAAGACAGCAGAATTCTCATCAGAGTCTGTGTTTAACTTCTTGCAAAATCACAAGCTTTGTAGGCTCTAGATACTTCACTGTGGAATCACGACAGAGTGAGAGTGAATGGCAAGCGGCACCTTAGTGCCGTTATGAGAGGAGCTCTCCCCTCATACACGTTCAGAGAGGGCACCTGGGGCTGCCACAGTCTAAGCTTCTCTGAACCATTCCTGAACAAGTTCATGGTGGTTTTTGTTTTAGATATCTTGCTTCAGATTAACAGCATGCAGATCTGATATATGAATTCACTGAAGCACAGAAAAAACTAGGAGATGTAAACAAACTGAAAAAAAATCGTGATTTGCTAAAATTACAATCCTAAAATCTGAACATGACAATTTTATGACTGGTAGAGGCTTAGCAAAGGAATTTTAACACATATTTACTGACGGACTTCCCAGTGTTGAGGGTGCCAAATAAAGAGAAACTCAAGATAAAAGTTCGCAGACTGAGGAAGGATCACCAGGATCACTATTCACGGTGGTAAAGCTGTGCAACGTGACTGCACTTAAACTGAGAGAAGGCAGGCTTTCTTGCACACAATCTCTTGATGTGGTAAACCACACAGTGCTCACGTTATGAGTATAAGGCATAGGTTTTTCACACAAGGAAAATAAACATACCTATATGTCTTCTTGTCATTTCTACCGTAGCATTTCTGTTTACGTTGGAGAGTAAACCTAGGCAGAACCTCTCAGAATTTGATGGATCTGTGAAGCCGTCTACGGTGAGTGAGGGCTGTGAGGCATGGAAGGTCTCTCCAACCCTCTGGTTTAATTCATAATATGCTATTGAACACCAAAATGCAGGCTCTGAATAAGTAACTGGCTGCAAGTCTGGCAGGGGGAAGAAACAAACCCGTAAAAGAAATGTTGTGTGAACAATTCAAGCCATGTCAAGCCAAGAATAGATTGAATATCATTATCTTTACGTGTCCTATGCCAGCCTACACTGGCAATAGCCCAGGAAACAGACTTAACATCTACATCACGAACCCCAGATTCTAAAGATCACAGCAGATTTTCAATTTCTCAAATTCCCCCTATCTCCTTAAGTCATCCAAATCTTCAAACATATTTTTTAGATTTTATGGTGGATTACTTGTTCTACTAGTAATTTTACCCCAGTTGCACCACATGTAAATAAGTCAATTTGCACTATAAAGTTAATTTTGAGTAGGATCGAGTAGAACAAAGCTAAAGCAAGGATTAATGCATCAACAGCCAAAGATTAAAAAAAAAAAAAAAACCTGTCACGACAGGATATAAAACATGACATATTTTTGACATTTGACATTTTAACATGAGATTCTCACTGAGTTACCCCAATTACAAAAAGAGAAAACCTGCATATATACAAGAAACAAAAAGTAATACAACACAAAGTATGCAAGCAGAAACAATATAAATATCATGGGAACACAACATATTTCATGGGAAAACAAGGACCATATATATATTTAAGTGCTGTAACTTTGATTAAAATGCAAAAGGAATATCACAGAAAAAAATGACAATTTTGTAGAATAAATTCCAATGTGTAGAAACTGAAGAGAAATTGTGAAACAGTGTATAAAATGAAGACCAAGGTGCATATTACACACACAAACATACATATGCACATGTATCAATACAAATACATACGTATTAGCAATCACACATATATATCTCCCATATCATATGTATATGTGAGCAATATGTCTCTATATATTTATTAGTCTCATATTAATAATTGCTATTACAAAATATAATAGAAACTAAATATACCCATAAATAAAATCTAGCCATGTAAGACATAAAATTCCTAATGAATAATGCATATGATTTCTATGAATAAAAAATTAACTTCTTATATTCATATGTGCCAGGAGAAAGGTGTTTTAGTAATATCGAGGCACATTATCAGTATCATTTTTAAAAAAGCACTAATTTGAACAATCATCTGTTATTCTTGAGATCTCTTTCTCCTATATACAGAAAATAATTACCAGAAAGGACATTTAAATAAAAAGGTGGAACAGTGTAAAAACAGTAGGGGGAAAGTATTTGCAACTTACCCAAACTATGATTAACAGGGGAAAGAGTAGTAGGAGATAATTCTGCTGGAGATCCTGAAACAAAAGGATTCAATTTTAAAACAGCTTAAGAAAGAAAGTATTTTCAAAACCTCTGACCCAGTAATTAAATTTATTGTATCTAGCTGTATTATCGTAACACAGATAATTTGCCAAGAATTCAAATGCTTAATGGGACGTTTAGTTTCAGGAGCTTCAATATATAAAAGATAGAAGAAAGTCCTGGTTTCAAGTTACCTTCTTCCAAAGGCATCCAATGTTGCCAGTTCTTGGTGCACCTTTCCAGAAATATTCTACAAACCATATGAGCAAATATATTTCTGTGCCTCCTGCTTTTTATGTACAAATGGTAAACACAATTCTGAACTTTGCTTTTGTATTACATATTCTATATCAACATCTAGAGATGCTGGTACATTTCCTTACTATTTACTTACACATCTATCCATCTATCCATAACATTACATTATGGTATATTATGATCCCATGTTGATGCGTGTTCAGGTTATTTTCAATCTTTTGCTTTTAAGAACCAAGATTCCAATGAGAAACTAATCTTGCACATTTTGCATACTCTGAATTGTATCTGAAGGATAGACTCTAAAAGGGAAACTGCCAAATCAAAACTTGGATAAATTTTGCCGAAACTGTCATCTTCAAAGGTTCGATCAGTTTACACTCCCAGTCACAAAATAGTGAGGGCTCATGTGTTATTGCTGATAAACAGTGCTGAGAACAAGGTCTTAACAAGTATAGTTTTAATCTGCATTTCCCTTATAAATGACACTCAGCAGCTTGATATTTGTTTATATTTTATTTCCTTCCTGTAAATAGTCTGTTCTTTTCTTTTGCTCAATTTCCTATTGTGGTGTTGATCACTTTACTCACTGATTTACAGAAGGCTCTTTATATTTTAGCAATATTAGTCCTTTCATGGTACGGGATGCAAATATTTATGTCTTATTTTTCAGTCCAATTTTGATTAAACAGTACTAAAAAACTTCTATGTGACATAATTAATCAATCACTCTGGGGTATGTTAGATTTTGATAAAAGTGGTGATGGGGAAATTCTTTTCTTACTCTTAACTTTAAAGAAATACTTCTAGTATCTGCCCGTTAAGTATGATGCTGGCTTTGAGGATGAGAGATAAAATTCTATATTTAGAAATTTTACATAAAAAATCATAAGCAGTAAAGATCTGTAGATTTATAAGCATAAATGTTATGCTGCCTCAAAAGTCAAGCCAGAAGCTTTATGTCTTTTCTATGCTCTGTAACAGTTTAAACAGAATTGGAACAACAAATGCTTTAGTAGTTTGGTAGAACTCCTGTGTGAAATCAGTAATTTTCTAGGGTGTATTCTAAGACATTACTCCTTCCATGAAAGATGACTGTTAAGACAGCTCTACACCCTGGAGTCAGTTTTGGTAAGCTATATTTTCTTAGAAAAGTATTTGTTTCTTCCAGTTTGAGGTAAACTGGTGAAATCTAATCAAGAAAATAAGGAAGAGGCACAAACACAAAAAGTTCAGAAAAAGAAGGAACACCACAGACAGAAGACAAAGAGTCAGACCTTACTTCACTCAATTTCAGGCAAATTTTGAAACACGTTTGCTGTAAACTGTTGCTAAATAATCCTAACTGTAGGATACACTTTGTTTTCTCATCATCATCCTCTACATATTTTGAGAATGTTACCCAAAAAAGCAAGACCTACAGCTCCCAAGTGTTAAAATTACAGCAATGGCACAGATGTAGAACAAGCTCAGAAGCCCCCGGGTGTATCTCTCCCTCTCCACACAACAACCATGAACGAAAACACCAGGCAACACAGGTAAAACAGCAACCTCCCCGTAAACAAACGCATCAAAAAATAAAGAACAGGTGATGACTCTTGAGAAGCCAGAACAGCCTTCTATAACAAAGTTCTTATGTTCTTTTTTTGTTCCTCAGTTTGAAAAATCTGCTGGCAAGTCATAACAGGTACAGCTATGAAAGGTCAAAACATATTTAGAACAATGAACTAAAACCTACTGCTGTTTCCTGAAGCTAAGATAAAATAAACAGAGCCACTATTAGAAATGGAGGAAACGGCCCAATTTTTCATATCTTTTAACTGCTTACTCTCTCTATTAAATACTTATTAGAAGTGACCAGTAGAGTCATGGTATATTAATTTTGGCTGAGTCCAGTCGTATGTGATAAAAGTTAGCACTGAAGATTACGAAAAGTTGATTATAATCACATACAAAATGTTTAGAAGTTAAATTAAGATAAAAATGTATTAGGTACCAGAAGTCTTTAGAAACTTAAAAAAAAAAGAGCCAGGTTAAATGATGATTAATCTGTTAGTTATTCATTTATACAGGCTTCTACTGAAGTCTGGGACTCGCAGTTATAAGAAGTAATAATCTCACTATTTAAAGCTGGTTTCTATTATTTGCAGCTACAACATCTAGAGAAATCCTTGTGCACACAACCCTGTATACAAGTTTGCAAATATTTGTAGGATACATTTTTCAACAAGGAAATGTGAGCAAAAGGATATGTGAGGTTAAATTTTTATAAGTACCCTCCCTGGATGTTTAATCCCACCAACAATCTATGAGCATTTCTTCACACTATATCACTACCTTTTGACATATGACAATTTAAAAGATTTAATGAGGCAACTCTGACATTTAAAATTTTTCTTTATTTTTATTTTGTTATAAATAGTGCACTCATGTTCTTTACATCCATTTATCCATTAAGCATTGTCTTTAACCTCTTGACGTGTAGGTTTTAAATCTAGAAACCAATTATGAGACTTCTTTACATTTAAAAATATTTCCCCCAGTTTTTTGGTTTATCTTTCAAAATAAAAAAAATTTAATAAAATTATTTATAGAGCAGTTTTAGCTTTACAGTAAAATTGAGCATTAATAATGTACAAGAGTTCCCATTTACCCTCAAATCTACAACCTCCCCTGCCATCAGTGTCTCACATCACAATGTACATTTACTACAACTGAGGAACCTACATAGACATTATCACTCAAAGCCCATAATTTATATTAGGGTTCATCTTTGGTTGCTGTACATTCTATAAATTCTGACAAATGTGCAATGACATGTATTCACCATCACAGTAGCATACTGAACACTCACACTGTCCTAAAAATCTCTGTGCTTATTAATCCCTCCCTCCCCTGAACCCCTAGCATCACTGATCTTTTTACTGTTTCTGTAGCTGTCTTTGTCTTTTCCAGAACGTCATACAGTTGGAATCATACAGGTATGTCACCTTTTCAGATAGGTTTCACTTGTAATATGCATTTAAGGTTCCATGTATTTCCATGCCTTTATTTGGTAAATTTCTTTTTAGCGCTGAATAACATCCCATTGTCTGGATGTGCCATAGTTCATTTACTCATTCACTTACTGAAGGATACCTTAGTTGGCAATTAATGAATAAAGCCACTATAAACATCCAAGTGCTGGTTTCTGTGTGTACGTAAGGCAAATTTTCAACTTTAGGTGAACACCAGGGGGCATGACTGCTGATTGTATGGTAAGAATGTGCAGCTTTGTAAGCCGCCGCCAATCTGTCTTCCAAAGTGGCTATACCATTCACTCTGCATTCCCATCAGCAGTGAATCAGAGTTCCTACTGCTCCACTTCCTTGCCAGAATTCAGATTCTGGTCATTCTAAAGGTATGGAGCAGTAATGTTTTAAATGTCATTTACTTAAGTTTATCAACCCTTTCTTCTGTGGTTTTGTATCTTGCATAATTCTTGCTCAGATTATTTTAAAACTTCAAGTTCTCTCTAAATGGGATTCATTTTGACGTGACTTACATATTTAGTATCTATAACTTTTTGAGAAATACTAAAATTAGTTTGAATTTCTTGAGCAAAATTAATAGCAAAGAAATGTATATTTTACTTTTTTTAAGTTTCAGTATGTAAACTAACCATAAATTATTATCATTCAAATAAAAAAATAAGACATTCTTTCAAAAGGCATATATGGGAGGACAGAAAAGTTAAAGGCCTTAAAATAATTTCATTTTATAATCTTTAAATTCAAATTACAAAAAACAGTCCCAAAGAACTAAAATTATCTATGATTTTGTTTTTATACCAAAAAAAGGCTTAAACATATGCTTTAAAAAAAACCTCATTTACTGAATACAGAGAGCAATCACATTCACAAACCTTTCAAAAAACTGATCATCATGCTGGTTTATTCCTTCCACCATATCCCTACCTGATCACCAACCAAGTCCTACCCTTAGGAAATACTGCAAAAGCAGGCATTTCTCTCCATCTCTTCTGAAACAAGCCAGAGGAGCCTAGTGCAGTAGTGTAGTAGTCAGGAACAGAATTTCTAGAATCTGAGATCCTAGGTGCAAATTCCTGTCTCTTTCTACCTATCCTCCTATGACATTCATTGCGGTACTGCTTTTTATTATTAAATACCTGCTTTAATAATTCAAAATGCTGCATCATAATTTTAATCTGTAAAATACTGTCGAACTTTTGACACAGAATGGTAGAAATTTGAGATTAAGCAAAAATAAGATATAGGAACTATGTCAAATCCAGTTAAAAAAAATACATACTTCCTTCATGTTTCTTTATTATGTTCTATGTAATTCCAAGTTTTCTACAAGCATGAATTGTGTTCAAAATGAGAATACAGTTGCTCTTCTTTTGTTTTTATTAGTAACTTGTATAGGGTTCCCCTTATGGTTAGAATATAGAAGACTGTTGGAAAAACCCTTACTCCTACAATAAGAAAGTATCAGAAACACTAAAAAATTATATTTTTTACCAAAAGTGACCCCAAAACTACAGATTCATTTAAATTGTAAGTCATTTACAGAAAGGGATGAGTTCTTCCTACAGTAAGTAGGGAGTGGTAACCATTTTCATTGCTGGGAGTATCTGCCAAGTTAGCACACACAGGACTGGTCTTGCCAAAGGACAAACCAGCTAAAAATTTAATGGCCACACACAGGCAACTGCAATCTGAGAAGCTCAAGCGCA